TAATAATCATAATTTTTTCTTTCATCCCCCCCCCTGCAAATAGAGGTTTTTTTACCTTTTGATTATCCCCCTACAAATGGTTAGAAATTTAGATTCATTCAACTAGAAATATTGGCGACTTGGCCAGTCAAACTCTATACATCATCCACAGCTGCTGGTTTTTTCCTCTTCACCCTCCTTCCTGCCTTGTTTTCATTCAGCAGCTAGAAGGATGAGAAGAAATATAAAACAGCTTTGGGTGAGGGAAATAGTCAGGGTAGATAAATTGAGAATATTGCTAAATGGGCGTTTAAAATCCACCCTAGTTCCTTTTAGAGAATCCATAATGAACACATTCTTACATTATCTCTTTTCCATAAACTATTGATTTAATCAAAGTACAAACATTAAACACTTGTTGTATAAAGACTATTAAAAAAAATGAGGTGCTGATACCAAGGGCTCAAGCAGAAAGCACATGTTTTGAGAATGATGATGGCAACAAATGTGCTTGACACAATGGATGAATGGATGGATTGTGATAAGAGTTGTACCAGCCCCCAATAAAATGATTTTTTTTAAGAATACCATTATATATTATAAGGAGTTATCCTGTCACGAGCATCAAAAAGTATGTAAGCTAGAAGTATACATTTATCCAAAGCACAGAATATTATAATAGTGTCATTACCAGAAATAACACAAGTCAAAGAATTACAGGTAGGGAAGAGTTATTGGACTGCAGGTAAGGTGACAGTGTGGAAATAGCACGAAGTTCTAACGAAACAACAGATACATAAGAAAGTCTAAAGTGCTCGCCTTCGGCAGCACATACACTTAAAAAAGGAAGTCTAAAACTGCAGGTGCAGTAGGCAGGAGCAAAAGTTAAAGAAAGCAGAGAATCGAGGGGGAAAGGAAGAACATCTGCCCTGGAAAGGAAGGAGGAGGAGGGCTGTTGGCCACACTGGAATAAAATCGAGGTGGGCTTCAGTCTCTGGACAAAGGCAAGTATTCTGTTCCCTCTAAACAAGTGCATGGGAGTAGACCTTCAGCAGCCCCAGCTTGCCCTCCTCTGGGTACCACAAGCTCATTTGCCAGGCAGACCTGGGTCTAGTCAAGGCTTCTGCTGCCTTTCTCTGCTCATTCAAAAGAGAACTCAAGGACCTTTGCAATGTAAGGCAACATATATATATATATATAGTTCTTCCCTCCAACAGTTTTTTAATTTACATATAAATTCACAACTCATGCAATTCAGTAGTTCAGTCATAGCAACAAGAGCTATCCAGTCATCACCACAGTCAGTGGTAGAATATCTTCATTCTTCCACTCATCGGTATTCGCTCCCCTTTCCCCCCACTGCCGTGGAATCATTCATCTAGTTACTGTCTGTATAGATTTACCTATCCTGGATATCATATGCAGAAAAACATTAAAAACAAACAAAAACTAAAAAAAAAAAAAAGTAAAATAGATGAAAGCCTCAATCATAAAGAGAGCAGAAAATATTTAAAATCAGAACAAATTTAAATGGTTCATAAAGGAGATCAAATAAAGGATAGGATGCTTGATTTTAACCTAATTGTATCTGCAACAATCCACTTCCCATACTTTGCATGTTAGCAAGGCTGTTCACATCCTCAGTTCGTGGTCAGAGGGGATTCACCACTGGCTTAATCCACATGGATCGCCACTTCACTTTTATTTTTTGAACTGAAACAGCTTTCAAATGGTGCTAAGAGGCAATCAAATGATAGGACATTACAGTTTGACCTAACTTCGTCTGCCATGACGCTCGCTGTCTGGTAACAGGGCTGTTCATATCCCTTGACTAGAATCAGAGGGGCTTCACTGGAGGCTCAGTCCATGTGTGGGGCCTGCAAGTAGATTTTGGGCTTACACCGTCCTCCAGAGAGGAAGGCTAGATAGTTCTCATTGCCAGTAGGATTGATCCTCATCCCCAGCTCTAACAGTCTACACAGTTGGCCCTTCTCAAGCTGGTTAGCCCTTGGTTCCCACCGGAGAGCTTAGCTGTGTTCTGTACTTTCCAGCCTCTGGCCTTCTCTACATGCTCACCTGCTCCTGCCAAACACAGAACCTTCCGCCCCATCTGAAAATGCTCCTCCTTCAGCTTAACTACTTAATGCCTCCCTCATCCGTCCTTCCCCAAACCTTTTCTTGACAGTACTCACACAATTGCAGTTTCTATTTGTGTTGTATTTGACAGTCATGTCCCCCTTCCCCGTGCCACCCCCCCACCCCCACCCCCCACCAGACACACACACCGAACTGTAAGCTGTAAGAAGCAAACGCTTGGAATGGTGGCCCAAGCTCACCATCCCTGTGCATGTTGATGTTAGATACCACTGAGTCAGCTCCAACTCGTAGCCGCCCTGTGGACAACAGAAGGAAACATTGTCAGACGCCTCACCTTCCTGTGGTCTTGCTATGCGAGCCCAGTCACGCAGGCACTGTTGTCAGCCTGTCTTGTTGAGGGTCTTTTTCAATTTCACTGACCCACTCACTCTGCTACCCTGCATGGTGGGCCTAACACATATCTGTTGGGAGTAAATGGAGATACTCAGTCATTCACCAGGGAAGAAGCTAGTCGTTAGGATTCATCTGGTTCCAATTTTTCTATCCCTTTCAGGCTGTTTTGGGGTTTTTTACCTGTAAGATGCCAACACTGATGCCATCCTATTAAGAGTGCCTTAAAATAAGAATGATGTTTCTTTGTCTCATGCAAAAAGTCAACTTCCGGTTGGGAGCTGAGACAAGTTGTCAAGGGCCCAGGCTTCTTCCTGTTTTCCACCTAGCAGCCATGAGCTCAGCTGAGAATCAGGGGTCTGTCCCTAAAGCAAGGGGGTCTCATTAGTTCTGCTACCGCTGGCCAAGTTGCCAGTCAGAGGCTCTGCAGAAAACAGGCCTGGCAGTCAGCTTGCAGGAAGGCCACAACCTTGAAAAGCCTCCGAAGCAATTCTGCTCGGCACACGGGGTGTTGCTGAGTCCAGATCACCTGGACAGTATCGAGCAGCAACTACGAAAGGAGAATGAGAGAAGCAATACTGAAGGCAGTCTGCCACCATTGCCTTTTCAAGGTATTTAAGGGACAGTATACCTAAGACTCAACACAGCTCCAGGCACAGCGTCCACACGTCTCATGGCTGTTGCCATCCTAGGAGCCGGGTGGCTTCGTGGGTCACATGTTGCACTGCTAACCAGTTTGAATCCACTAGCTGTTCCGTGGGAGCAAGGTGAGGCTTTCTGCTGTTTGTCAGCTTTACATCCTCAGAGACCCAAAGGGGCAGCTCTACTTTGTCCTGTAGGATCGCTGGGAGTCAGAACCAACTCTGTGGTCGTGGGTTTGGGTTTTGGTGTGTGTTGTTTTTCTGGTTACTGCTATCCCTTTATTCAGTGAACATGAAGTAACATGAGAGAAGACACAGAGTATCATTTAACCATCAGAAACTTTTCTTAAAACAAAAGTGAAAATGTGAAGTAGTTGTTACTCTGAGCTCCTCCCCCTAGGTCTGTGCATTGTTGAAGGCAAGGCTTCCAGCTCAATCGCCTTTTCTCAAATTGCAGTTTTGGCACCCCTGAGGGGCTTAAATTGTGTTCCTTGGAAATGCACTTTTAAATTTGGGAAACACAAACACAGAGAGACAAGATAAAGGCGATAGGGTGGATGGGTAGTGTTTTGAAGTAAAATTCTCCTAAGACAGCTTTGTTCCTTTGAAGAATGAGCAGTTTTTTTCCCATCGCAACAATGTGCACTGGCACATTCCTCAGCACGACTTTACTGGCCTTTTTCTCAGTAGTACAATTACCAATTTCCTTAAAACTTCTTCCTAGTAAGCCCCCTTGATCACCATGCAGCCTTTGAAAAAGTCTAGCAAGATTACCCCTTTAAATTCAAAACTCATACTCTGCTGTTGAGTAAATTCTGGTCCATAGCGACCCTCTAGGACACTGTAGAACTGCCTCTGGGGGTTTCTAAGACAGTAACGCTTTACAGCGGCGTCTCTCTCCCATGGCACGACTGCTTGTTTCAAACTGCTGGCCTCGCAGTTTGCAGCCCAACTTGTAGCCACTATGCCACCGGGGCGCCTCAGATTACTCCTTAAGAATCCCTGAAAGAAGAAGACTCCCAATAACCTGAGCTGACCTCTCGCCCTCAGATTTACTTGGATTGGACTTTGTTTCAAGGCATCCTAATAAGACTGAGACAAGTGTATTGAGAGAATTGTCTGTAGCCATGACTGACAACAGAGACGCGTTCAACCACGATTTGCTTGGAATAAATGGGTGCGTGTATGAACTAGAACCCTCACAGCAATACATTTTGGTGTGTTCTTGAACCTGACTTTCCTGAGAGACCCTTCCTGAACTCCTGGTCTCTTCGTTCTTGGATTAAATGATGTGGTTGGCTCTCTGTTTTCTGCAGTTTACCCGGTGTCGGAGCAACTCTTTGTTTTCCTTTGGCTCGTTTATGGAGGAGTAGCCCCTCCCCATCCCTCTGGGACTTTGCTCTCCTTAGCTTCATGATAATTCCTGTTGACATAAAGTCAGCTTCCCCACAGATACCATCAACTCTGGTGGTCAAATGGAGCCACAGATGTATTTTCTTTTTTCCCTTGTGGATGGCACCATTTGGGCGTGAACCCACCTTTATTAAAGCTGTAGCTTGGCAGGCCTTAAATACCTTGGCAGGCCTTGGCAGGAGATGGGATGGGGAGTGGGGTGAAACAGGGAGGAATGCCCAAAAAACTCAAACTCACTGCCATCAGGTCACTGACTCATAGTGACCCCCTGTGGGTTTCTGAGAATTTAACTGTTTACTGGAGTAGAAAGCCCAGTCTTTCTCCTGAGGAGCTGCTTGTGGTTTTGAACTGCTGACCATTCGGATCACAGCCCAATCCTAACCATAATACCACCAGGCTTCTTAGGGGGGAACTAGTGAGAATAAAGTTGGACAGTGTGTATTTTTCTTGACCCTTTGTTTTCCTTCTTCTCCTGTAAAGGCAATTGACCGAGGGATCATCTTTGAACTTGCCTACAGCCCTGCCATCAGAGACTCCACAATGAGAAGGTACACGATTTCCAATGCCCTCAACCTGATGCAGATCTGCAAAGGAAAGGTGTGAGTCCGTACTTTTAGGGTATTTTTTAAGCCTAGGAATTTATTAGTAATGTCCTGGAATTTCAGTCTGATTCCTCCTTCTTAAAACAGAAAGCTTTCAAGATACAGAAACAAATTTGCCCATATTAACGAGCTCTGCAATGCAAAGAGAAAGAACAATACGGAGGGAGGAAAGATTGTTTTTCAATAAGGAATTTGCTGTTTACCTACTGTGAAAAGAATAAGTAGTCTAGATAACAATTGATTATCAGTAAGTGGAAGTGAATTAAGTTGTTGTTTGTTTGTTTGTTTTAATTTCCAATAAATTCTGATTCATAGTGACCCTCTAGGACAAATAGAACTGGCCCTGTGGATTTTTGAGGCTAGAAATCTCGTTCAGAGCAGAAATCCTGATCCCGATCCTATGGAGCAGCTGGTGATTTTGAACTGCTGCCTGTGGGTTGGCTGCCCAATTTGTAATCCACTGCTCCACTGGGGCTCCTTTTTAAATGAGTTTTTAAGGAATTCATCTTTTCTAAGGTTGATTGGGAAAGCCGATTCTGATCCTTACTGTTAAAGGCGGCCTTCAATTTGACATGTGATCCATCGTCCGGTCACTTTATTTACCTTATGTGCCGAAGAAGTTGATATTTGAGCTTTCACTGTTAAAATGTGATTGTGGGTGATTTGTATTGTAAGACCCTTCAACTTTTATTTTTTACATATACATGAGATTAATATTGATCACTTTCTATTTTGTAGAATGTAATTATATCTAGTGCTGCCGAAGGGGTAAGTCTGTCATTTTAATACTTTGGCTTTGCTTTTCACATTATAAAACGGAAAATCTTCTGGAAGAGAAATTAAAATAGCAATGTAATGAGTGTTTATTACATGTTTTCATTTTTTATTGCAAATTTGACATTGAAATTTTGTTTCTCCTTCAAACTGTTATAAAATGCTTTTTAGGGTCCCTTTACATTTCTAAAAGCTTAAGATTTCCATCAGAATTATGGCTTAAAATGTCTTCAATTGCTTTTCTTATTTTTGAATTCTTAAGTATCCTATTACTTTACTCCAAATGTAGTCACCAAAATGTTCTGAATAACTTGTCCATTCATCTCTATTTTTTATTCATTTTATTTTAGCTTTTAGAAATCAGAGGACCATATGACGTGGCAAACTTGTATCCTTTTCTGTGTTGAAAATTTCTTTTAGGAAATTTGGACTTTATAGGGGTGCATTAGTTAACAAAGTATTTTTTCTCAATATTTTACTGTGTGTCAATAATAGCTTATAAAAAAATGCACCAGTGGTGGAGAGCCTCTCTCTCTTTTTGATTTATGGGTGAAGTAGAAAAAGAAAACTGAGGAATTTCCTATATCTGCGTTTCCCAAAGCGGGCAATATCACGCCCTGGAAGGCACTGAAACCGCAGGGACAGGGGTTGGCTTCAAAAGCAGACCATGTGCACTTTAACCTGGAGTATGGGCTATAGTACAAAAGTTTTTATGGGAGGGGGAAGCACTGAGTAATCCTTTTTTGAAAAGGGGGTGGGGGCAGGCCAAATAAGTTTGGGAACCTATGCTCTATATCCTAAAAACATTCAAGTGAAATGAGTCTCAGATGAGCGTTCGAGTGGAGCTAAGAACTTGTTGGCAAGGCTAAGTCTCTCCCTCGCAGTTTGACCAGGTGAACCGGCACTCATAGTTTAGTCTTGTTCGTGTCCTTGGCTGACTCAGGGTTGAAATCCTTAATGCGCCCACCAGAGGGTTGCTGTTTGGGCTGTCTGAAAGCGATGCCAAGGCTGCGGTGTCCACCAACTGCAGAGCGGCGCTTCTCCACGGAGGTGAGCAGGCTTCCACTGAAAGCATCTCATCCGGAAACAAAGCACTTTCGATCAAACCTTGAGCCACCTGTGCTCCAGCGGCTGCCTCTGCTGAGGCCTTCCGGTCCCTCACTGCTTTCGCACTTTCCTTTCAGGCTTTACTTTCTCTTCTTTAGGGATAAATAGGGTTTGTGCTTGCAGAAATGTAGGAGGGGGCTTCAATTCTGATGTGGCAACATCAAATTAAAAATTACTGGTTTCCCTCAGAACTTTTTGAAGCCCTTTGGTGTTGAATGTGGACGTTCAAGCGCCACAGAAGTGGGTGCCCAGCTCACGTTTTGAGATTTCTAATTGGTGCTTTCCCTAGTGGGAATCAGTTTTAGAAAACTGAAATGTTAAAAATGTAGGGTAAACCATTTAATAAGAAAACAAACACAGGAAGTCCATTTTTTTAAAACCCAAGCAACAAACTCAGACTTAACTTTTTGCCTTTATCACAATATCATGACGTTTTGCTTATTTTTTCTCCAATTTACATGTTCAAGAATATACATTTTTTACTTACATTTTTAATTTCACATGTGATCTGCCCCTTAACTGCACTATTGAAGCCCACTTAATTTTTTATTCATCAGATAAAAATTGAACCCAAGCCATTTAATATACTGATCCTTTGGAAAATCCAAGTGAAGTTTGATGTTAACGAGAACACGACACCGGCACGTCAGACCTGCTCGCTTACTTTCATTCTCTTCGTAGTTTTATGAGTGGTGGTACTGGTCAGGAAGGTAGTTACTTGCTATTACTGAGATGTGTTTTATACTTCAGAATTCCTTCCAGTGACGCACAGGATAGGTTACTGAATATAGCGGAGTTATTTAGCATATGAATGAATAGGGTTTTTTTTAAGCTTTGCGTGTTTTGTCTGCATTTTAATGATCTTATTTCCATATGGGAGACCTGCTTGTGGTATTGACTTGAGTTGGGTGATTTTAATTTTGCTTTCAACAGTATCAGCTTGAATCGGTTAGATTATACAGCCCAGACCCCATCACTTGAACTTTGGGAATGACCATGTTAATTGGGATTATCGGGGGGTTTCTTGAAATTAGGGACTAGTTGGTTCCTGCTTTGTCAGTTCGGATTTTTTTAATCTATCTTAAATGAATATACGGCATCATCTAGATTTGGATAGCAAAATAGGTTAAAGCAAGAAAGGGAAAAAACTAAAATAACAGTTGAAACATCCCAAAAAACATATTACAGTGAAAAATGAAAGTTCTCTATTAACTTAAGAAATTCAACTACTCAACCTCAAATATATAAAGCCAGATTTTTTACAGAAGCTAAGCTAAAAAAGGCTTGGGGGATTTTGATGAACTTAATCATTCACCCTCATGTGCCCAGGCCCATCTAGATTAGAGTTTCAATTCTGAGCACCCTGTTTGTAGTAGGCTGTGGATGACAGTGAAAACTCAAAACAGAGTTGCCGAGTTCTCCCGTAGATTAAGCGTCCATTGCATTCCTTGTGAACATTGAGAAACTAACTCACTCTTACTGCCAGGAGTCAGTGTTGACACCTGGCAACCCCCTGTGGGTTTCCAAGACTGTCGCTGTTTACAGGAGTAAAAAGCCCAGTCTTCTCCCAAGGAGCTGCTGCTGGTTTCCAACTGCTGACCCTGGAGATCACAGCCAAAAGCATAACCACTATACCACCAGGGCTCCTGGTCATTGACTAAGAATGGAGGTAATCTTGCTCTCAGATAGAGTACATTGAAAAGTGGATTCCTCCAGCCAACCCTGGGTGGAGCAGTTTCTTTCTCATGGGCTACCTGGGTGTGTCCTTGCTGGAGATCACTGTACCTGGGATAGTACAGGTGGTCAAATGTTCATGAGTCATGCCCTGTCAGTTGTGCCCTGACTGCCTTGGTGGGAAGACCCTGTAAGCTTCCTAACATAATGTGCATGTCCTAATCATGGGCTTGTTCCTGCTTCTGTGGCCCCGCCTGTAACTCTGATGTATTGATCTGCCACCAATCACGAATCCGGGGTAGTACCTTTTTTCCATGCTTTATTTAACTAGCATCCTGACGCTGAATCCTAGAAGCCATTATGGCTACGAGCTATTGGCCTCTCTCATCCAAGTGATGTGTCTGTGTCATATGTTGTTTTTGTCCATTTTAAGACTTAGTAACTGTTTTCCTTAAATTATAATTGAGATATAATTTTGTCCCTTATGACACATCCCAGTTTATGTCTGTTGACCCTACAGAATTATTACACACGGGAGAGCATCCGAATGCAGATGATAAATGATGCCGTTAGTTACCTCGGTGTTGTTGAATAGAAGGGTCAGTGTGATACAGTTCCTCAGTTTGCAATCAGCCTTAGGTTATACTACCAGAAATGAAGGATTCTGAGATAAGGGGGTTGAAATCCCCTTGTTTTACTCTGCACTAAATCGGTGTTAGGTGGAACCATGTTAGTTCTGAGTGTTACATTTAGGGACAGTGGGCTGTTGGTGTACTTGGTATCAGAAGGAAGTTAGTAGATCCTTGACAAGATAAGAACCCGATTCTGTAAGGGGGTGAAAGCGGCATCTGAATGGATCCTGGAACACATGTAAACTCACTCACTGACAGCTGACATGCACTGCCATTAAGTTGATTCTGACTCACTACCCTGTGGGACAGACTTGTCCCTTTGGGTTTCCCAGGCTGTAAATCTTTAAGAGAGTAGAAGGCTTCACCGTTTTCACACAGAGTAGCTGGTAGTGATAAACTGCTAAGCTTGTGGGAAGCAGCCCAACATATAAGCCCCTACCAGGGCTCCTCATGGGCCACATGGTAGATGCTTTTCCATCGGCAGGCTTGCCTCGGGGGAATAAGAATTAGATGGGTCCTGTGGAGTGTCACGGAGCCGTGGCAGTATAGGTGTTATGCATTGGGCTGCTCACTACCAGTTCAGCAGTTTGAAAACACCAACTCTTTGGTGGGAGAAAGTTGAGGCTTTCTACTCCTGTAAAAAGTTACAGCCTCGGAAACCCACAGGGGCAGTTCAATTCTGTCCTGCAAGGTCACTGTGAGTCAGAATTGACCCAGTGGCAGGGAGTATGTTTGCTTGTTTGCTTGTTGATGGAGTTTCCAAAGCCAGGCAATAGCAAGTCTGAGGAGATTCTAAGAAAGGAAAGAGGTCAGAGAATTTGACTTAGGATGGTGAGTTCAGTTCTTCAGTCCGCCACTGAACCAAGATGGACCTGTTTGGGATACCTGCCTTTACTTCTTGTGAATAAAAATAACATACCACTGTTCAGGAGCCTTGGCCATGTAATGGTTTAGTGCTTCACTGCTTCAAGAAAAGTGGGTGGTTCTAACTCACGCAGTGGCTCCTCAGAAAGATGAGGCGTTCTGTTTTCATAAAGATTACAGCCTAGAACACCCTACGTAGGAGTTTTGTGCTGTCATGTGGAGTTACTAGGAGTTAGAATGGATTTGACGACATTGAAGAGGCAGCTGAGGAGCCCTGGTGCCTCCGTGCTCAGCTGTTCCTGACAGGTTGGTGATGCAAACACGTGCCAGCCGCTCCACAGAAGGAACATGTGGCAAGCAGTGTCCTTTTATAAACATTGCAGCCTGAGAAACCCAGTGGGGTAAATTAAAGCTACACACAAACATAACTTCTTGTTATTACAAATGTGTGTGTGTGTGTGTGTGTTCAGCTCCCCCCCACACACACACACAGTGGCATTCTGCATTCTATGTTTTCACTTACCAAATGGCTTTGTTGTTTTTCTCGCTTTTTTAAAAAACTCCGTGTTTTCCTCTCTCACCAGGTAATCATTAGTCTTTCACCTTGGGTTTACCTGTTCTAGAGATGTCAGATGAGTGGAATCATACAGTGTTTGTCCTTTGTGTCTGGCTTATTTCGCTTAACATAATATATTCAGGATTCATCCATGTGGTGGGACTTCATTTCTTTTTATAGCTGGACAGTTGACACATTCTTTTATCCGCTCATCCGTTGATGGACCCATGTGTTGTTGCTACCTGTGGGCGTTTGTGAGTGGTGTGACGGGGAAGGTTGGTATACACATGTCTGTCTGAGTTACTGCTTTCAGTCCTTTTGCGTATATGCCTAGTGGAATGAATTTCGTTTTTGAAAGTAGCATTTACATCAAGAGCTTTACTTTATTTGAAAAATGTAAAGGGTTCTCGCTTTTCAGTTGTTTATAGCAACTTTGATTTAATTGTTCATAATAGGAGATTTCTAATTCGGATAAATGGGAAGGTAATGCTTCTTAATTCTTTGGAATTGACTGTACTTGTACTACTTGCCGCAAGAAATCACCCCTAACTTCTGGTCGGGTTCTCTTGATTCCGTGCCCTTCCTAACTAATGGATCTCTTTTGCCCTCTTCCTTCCCCATTTTCTTTTCACGGCACTTTTGAGTCTTACCTTCCGTTCCTTATTTCTCCCAATGTTTGCATACTCCTCCTTCACACTTGCCATGTTGTTCCCTAGGAAACACTAGGTTCTTCCTACCTCTCCTCTCCTCTCCCCTTTTGTCCTTCTTCTCTATTTCTGTTGTCACCTCATCTTACGATATGTGCCTTAATTGATTACACAATGGATTCTTGTGGGTACCTCCATCCTGCTGTTTGCCTTTATGTTATTATAGCGTGCCCCATGGGGGAGGGGGGTAGTGTTAGTGTTCCTCTCAAGCATCTTGATTCTTCTGTGTGTCAGATCGTGCCAAGCCAGAAGTTGACTTAATTTAAGTTGTTAAGCCGACCTAAGCATGCATCGTTTTCTCCCTTTTTTGCATCCATTTTCAGCCAGTTTATAAGGGGTCAATAAACATGTACATTTGATTGAGTTCATTCACTCATCAGGTATTTATTGAGCAAATATTACGTACCAGGTGTAACGATATTGGCAGTAGGGTGTGATTAGTTCTGGAGAGAGGATCTAGTAAGAGAGACGGGTACAGTAGGTTGATAGTACTGCAGTGAGGAAGCACACACATAAATCCCCAAACCAACTCACTGCCACAGAGTCAACTCTGACTCCTGCTGACAGACTAGAACTGCCCCTGTGAGTCTCCAAGATTGAAACTGTGTACAGGAGTAGAAAGCCTCATTTATCTTCTGCAAAGCAGCTGGTGGTTTTGAACTGCTGATTTTGGGGTTTGCAGCATACCACATAGCCCACTATGCTACAAAGGCTCCACACACCACCGCAGGAGCAATAAATTCAGTGTTATACTTGTTCTCTTGACTCAGTGGGGCTGTCTTTCTGCCTCTCGGGGCACCACTATGTAGGATGTGAGATTTGTCAGCAACAGATCATTAGAGGCGCCGTGGCCTGCGGTTTTACACTTGGTGTCATCCATTAGCAATGAATCGGGTGCTGATGAAATACTGCTGTCTGTGTATGAGTGTGTGTGTGTGTGTGTGTGTGTGTGTGTGTGTGTGTGTGTAATGGCAACAATTGACATCAGCTCCCATAGCAATTCATTATGATTTTCTCATTTGCTAGTGTTTGGAAGTGTTGGAGTAATACAGTACTGTTAAACATTTTTTTTGTTTTAATCACATGCTCCCTTTTAAACACTGCTTTCCTGTTTGCTTTACAGAAACGAGAAAAACTGCTTTCGGAATTGTTTCTACAGTGAAGAAACCTCGGTCTTCAGAAGCAGATGATGAGTCCCTTCCAGCTTGCAAGAAAGCCAAGTGTGAGGGCTGAGAAGGTCCCCCATCGCTCCCTCTGCTTCTCTCTGCCCTCTGAGAGAACTCATCGGCTACCATGCAGCTAAAGCCTTTATGTAACTTACTGTTTTCATTTGGAGCTAGCAATCAATAGTCTATAAAAAGCGGTGTTGTTTTCAACCCATTACAATAACAAGCGAGACCTGCTGAAGCGTTGTTTAACGCTGTGAATTTAGATGTTCAGATGTTATCCTTTGTGTAAGCGATAAATTATGGCAGGTGTAATCTAATGAAAAAATGTCTTACTATTGTAAGAAACTATTTAAATTGTTTCTTGTTTCATTAAAAACTCATGTTTTTCTACTTGTTATACAGAGGTTATTATTTTAATCTTAGCATTCAAGAAGTACTTATTTTGAGGACTATTAAAACTTTGTAAAGAGTTGACCCTTTCAGTGGATTGGGCTGTTTTTTAAAGCTGCTTTTATGTGTGCTCACCGAGGCAAAGTTCTTTCTGAAAGGAATGGTGATAAACTGCAGAACATCGAGGGGGTGTTGTGGGAGGCGTGGATCAGGATGTGTTCCCTGAGGCCTCCTTGCTGCTTCTGACCTTTGTTTTGTCCTGTAAATAGAATTTCTGCCTTTTTCTTAGGAACTCCTGAAAACTTAATAATGGCATTCCTAATAACTCTATTAAAAGTGTCTAAACATTTAACTTAACCCGCATTGGAAATAAGCGTGTGTGTTTTTTTAATCAGCATCACCATGTTAAATAGAAGTAGCTTTTTTAAAAAAAAAAAACAGCATGTCTGCTGTATCAATACAAGCAGATCGAATGCAACTCCTTGCAAAGCTCAGTGTTTGAGGAGATCTGTGCTCCATGGGGCTTGCTTGGTGGTAATCTGCACGGAAGTGGATCTACGGGCTGCTTCCACCACACTGCTGGCTAGATTCAAATCATCAGCCTTTAGGATAGTAGCAGAATGCAAATTGCTTGTGCTCCTCAGAGAGTGAGAGTGACCAGGGCCCCCAAATTAAAGTGAGTAGAGCAAGAGATGAAATTGAATAGCAAAGTGCTTTAAAAAAGAGAAAAGTAACATTGTTGTGAGAGCCAGAGAAAGTAGACTCTAAAAAGCTTTATACCCATCTCACAAATATAAATGCCTAAATAAAAAGTACAATAAAAGTTCTTGCAAAATACAAGTAGAACCGTTGTTCATACACGACCCAAACCAAACTCACTGCCGCGTCGGTGGTGCCTCTAGGGCAGGGTAGAATTGCCCTGCGACCGTGACTCTGGACCGGAGGAGGCCTTTCTTTCCTGTGGAGCAGCTAGCAGTTTTGAACTGCAGACTTTGGCTTGCAGCCCAACTACTTCACCACGAAGGCTCCCCTGATAGACATAAAATGCCTTTTAAAAGTTCGTGAAAAAATTCCATGAACTTTTTGTAGCCTGCTCATGTACCTGCATACATAGATATTCTGCGTAGTAAATGCGATGGTTCTAAATAGAACACGTTTTTTTAATCAATTTTATGAACCTGCCTATTCTGTCCCTTCTCTTTGGAAGCTTGCTCGTCACTGTGTGCTGAACCCACACACCAGTCCGTAGTCTGCCACTTTCTGCTGTGCCACTGGCTTTTGCCCTCACTCCTCTCAGGCTGTTTGAAAGGTGGGTTCTTTGTCTTTGTATAGTTTCCACAGGAGCACAATTAAGTGTTGGAAGTTTTTCGTAACATTACCCCTACTTTGTTATGTTCCACAAAGTTGAATGCACGTCCATGGTCGATGAAACACAGGTGAACATCTTTCTGGTGCTCTGCTTCGAACAAGGCCCATCAGTCGTCAGCAGGGCTAGTGCTCATTGCATGGCCTTTCGTGAGTCCAGCTGCACTTTGGGCAGTTCCCTGTCAACATATTGTTGAAACTGTTTACATTCTGCAAAATTTCACTCGTGTGTGATAATGCATTTGATCTGCTTCACATTCTGTTGGATCCTCCCTCTTTGATATTGACACAAAGATCTCTTCTTATTGGCTCACCTCATTGTAAATTAATTAAAAATGAAGATATATGGAATGTAAAAGAAAAATAATTTTCATGAAAGCTATGTTGATGTGCTTAAACGTTTTAAAATCAGTGAGTTGCTAGAAAGAACTATTGTCAGATTAGATGTGAATAGAAAAACCATGATTTGTGGGTGACTGGAAAAATTCAGAGCCCTTGTCTGGAGTCCTAAATTCTCTTTCTTTAAACTTTAAGGAAACTGAAATGCGGGAAGAACAACTCGAGCTCTCCCATCAATGAATCCATTTACTCAGAGCAGCATTCCTTAACAGGTTGGCAAATGAGTATATGTTGACATATTTTAAACTCAAATGTTTAAGGGATACATGTTTAATTTTTTATGACATCTCTCCTTAATCTGCTTTTCCAATTGAACGAGAGCTACTAGCTCCAGTTGGAGCATGTATATGTGAAGATTTTCATGCTATGAGTCGGAATTGGCCCAGTAGTCATGAGTTTGGTTAGAAAGAAAGTAAAATAGTTCATTGATGTGCTTTTAACAGTTTTGCTGGCATATAATTCACGTATCATCCAATTCAGTAGTTCAATCACATTGAGAAGAGTTGTGCAAACATCACCACAGTCAATTTTAGACTTTTTTTCTTGTACTCATTGTTATTAGCTTACTATTTCCCCCCAGCCTCCATACCAAAGGAACTACTAATCCAGTTACTGACTCTCTAGATTTGCCCACCCCTGACTTCATATTCAAGAAAAAAAGTTTAACTAACAACAGTAGCAAAATAGAACAGATTAAAACTTCAACTGAAAAGAAATAAAATATTAAAAACTAGAACAAACAAAGTAAATGAAAAGGGAGATCAAATGATAGAGTGTTAAGTTTTAACCTAACTGCATCTGCCACAATCCACTTTCCAGTGCATTCTCCCTGATAGCAAGGCAGTTCACATCCCTGGTCCAAGTCGGGATTCACCAGAGGCTTAAGCCATGGGTATTTCTCCTTTTTCTTTTTTTTTAAACTGTAATAACTTTAATAGGGGATCAAAGTATAAGATACTACATTTAAAAAAAATCATTTTATTGAGGGCTCGTACAACTCTTACCACAAACACACATCAATCCATTGTGTCAAGCACATTTGTACATTTGTTGCCCTCATCACTCTCAAAACATTTGCTTTCCACTTGAGCCCTCGGTATCAGCTCCTCATTTTCTCCCCTCCCTCCCAGGTTCCCCCTCCCTCATGAACCCTTGATAATTTACAAATTATTATTTTGTCATATCTTACACTGTCCAACGTCTCTGGTCACCCACTTTACTGTTGTCCATCCCTCAGGGAGGAGGTTATATGTAGATCATTGTAATCGGTTCCTCCTTTCTCCCCCACCCTCCCTCCACCTTCCTGAAAATACTACATTTTAACCTAACTGCCATAATCAATTTTACAATGCTCTCTGTCAGCTAACAAGTCTATTCACATCTTTAAACTATGGTCAGAAGGGATTTCAACTATGACCTCAGAAGGGGTCAGAGGCTTAATGCATGTGTGGGCCCTGTACATGGATTTTGGGCTTTCCCTGTCATCCATGGTCTTCTGAAAACCATGTCCTATAATCCCATTCCCTTCTTCAGATTTGATTCTATTATTAATAATCCTTGGTTTACAGAGACTGTTGTGCTTCTTCCATGAGGATTTAGTTGATACCTCACTTAGGTGACTGCTTATTTAAAGTCAAGCCGTTAAGACCCCAGTCGCTATTCTGATAGCTGGACACCATCTAATTTCTTCACCACACTTTGCTGGAGCACCCATATCTTCATTGATCTCTTCATGATCATCAAGCAGGACCATGCATCAGAGCTAATTGTTTTAGATTGGGACTAGGATTAAGTGTATTTATATGTCTCTTGTTTCACCTTAGAGATATCATTGTCATTTTATGTTAGAGAACATGTTCAATCATCCCCCTGGAACATAAGATAATTCTATTGATAGTGTCATTAATTTAGCCAATGGTATAAAATTTAAAACACTGTTGAGAAAAGGAAATCATCTGAGTATAGGCCAGCGTCGAACTGCAGTACATGAATCGTTGACTCATACATGCTAAACTATTGAACGGCTGGACACCGTTTCAACTAACAACGGGGGTTGGTGATAGGACAAAATTTTCAATAATCTTTCACAGTGGTAGAGCCATATCATAATAAAGCAAGGAGGGTATTAAAATAGTACGGTACATGGTAGTTCCAAGCCACCATTCACGGTACCCACAAGGTAAGAGATTCGACCAAAGTCCAATGTCTGCCAGTCCCATGCCCTTGAGATAGCAGTCATCTGCTTCACACACTAGGGAGTTTCAGCCTTAAGTCCAAGGGCTACAGGTGAGTTTGAGGTAAAGCCCAGTTCACTTAGTGAGGTGGGGAGGGGGGGCATGTTCCCACATTGAATCCTGGTACGGCCTATGAAGAATGTGCCTCGAAAGAATCGAAAGTACTAGTCATCTATAGCATACAGCCTGGGTCATCAAGGGCTGCCTGGAATCTAGGTTAGGAACTTAGTACCAGGTATATTCTCCCCTTGGGTTCCACGTAAGTATTGTTGAGCACGTTTTCCTGATGGGAGGTTGCTCCTCCAGTTTTCCTGCCAACAGAGAAGTAAGCACCTTCTCCGAGACATGCTTGTCACCTCCCGCATCCTGACGAATTTCCAGTAGGGTTTCCCTATCACTCTGGTGGGAGCCTCTGTTGGATTGGTGTGACCTTAGCACTATTTTGTATGGCAGCAACTGGATGATCTCTCTCTCCCTGCACCTTCAAACACTGGTCCCAGCTGAGGTGCAGCCTCCTCTATCAAAGTGGGTTTTCAGATGTACACAGAGAGGGTGTAGTATATATTTCATGGACGGTAGGGAGGTTCTCAACCTCATTGCTTAGGATACTGGATTAGAAGTTTAAGTACGCTGGAAATAGTGGCCTGTCTTCATCTTTATGTTTATTTTATAGTAGTGGACGCATACAGTATTTGTCCTTTGGGGATTGACTAACTTCATTCAGCATAATGGTTTCCAGGTCCCTCCATGTCATGAGGTATTTCATGATCTCATTACTGTTTTTAAGGGATGCATAGTATTCCAGTGTGCATATGTATTGCAGTTTCATGATCTATTCAACTGATGGGTATTTGGGCTGTTTCCAGCTTCTTGCTACTGTGAACTGTGTTGTAATAACCATGGGAGAGCATATGTGTGTCCATGATCTGTTTCTTATTTCTTTGGGGTATATGCCCAACAGAGGTATTGCTAGGTTGAACGATATTTCTATTGTCAGTTGTTTAAGGTATCGCCACATCACTTTCTACAATGGCTGTACATATTTACAAGACTACCAGCCGTGTATAAGAGTTCCAATCCCTCCACATCCTCTCCAGCATTTGTTATTCTATTTGTTTGTTTGTTTGTTTGTTTTTCAACGGACCTTAGAGTGGGTAGACTCCATTTTTCCTTGCACTTTGTGAAGCCCCTTGTATGCCTATCCCATTGCTCAGAAAAGGAGGGTATCATAACTGCTTATTAGTGATTGGCAGCTATCAGGCTTCCTGCTAATGTTCATCATTGTTTACAGCATCAGCCACTGCCGATTCCATTATTACAAAAGTTCTGTAAGGTGGCTAGTTTTTTGTGTGACACAAC